TACCAGTCAAAACCAAAGGTGCTGCGAACAGGAGAGGCCCTGCTCCCCTGCTTTCCTGTCCTGGAGCTGGCAGACGATTTTTACCAGCTTGCTGGGATCATCCAGAAAGTGCCTCCGAGCTGGCTTTTAGAAATGCCTGCAATCATACCCCCACACACAAGGTCCCAAAGTGCAGGATCTCAAAGATTCAGTAACAGTTTTGCGTGTAGATTAATACAAAATACAGTAACACTATGAATCACCCCAGAACAAACATTCTGGAGGAAAACACCAGGACCAGTTAGCCTGGGCTGGAAAATGCTGCATTACCATTATAAGCATGTTTCTCTTTGCAATAATGACTTCAGAAGGGCAGCTTATCAGACACTATTTCTGATCCACATTAAGAGCTGGAAATGAAGACAGTCTTAAAGCTATTATCATCTCAGATTGCTCATTGGGAGCAATCTAATGACCAGGGAAATAGCTAGTCCCATACTATTTTCCATCCTGGCTTCTATTCTAGCTTCCTTCCCTGTATTCATCGGTTCGAAGTAAAAAACGAGGGCCACCATTTACATTGGCTCTTTTGGAGTGTGGAATGTCTCAGCCCACCTGAGGAGGAGAGCCAGAGCGTCTCAGCCATCAGTAGCCTCAAGACCAAAGATGATTGCCAGAGCCCCAAACGTATCAGCCTCGTGTTTAAGCTGGACCCACCAACGATGGAGCTGCAGCCAGGCGAGTCTGTGGATGTGGTGCTGCGAGGCGTCTCCCAGACTGCACAGGTGAGGTTCCCACCAAGGGCTGAGCCTGGAGAACCATCAGATCCCCTCCCCTGCACTTGTTCCACAGTGCCTTGACATTGGGGTGCAGTGTTACAGACAACTGAGTGTAGAATAAATAAGCTGCATCACAGGAAGAAAAGGGGGCAGTGACTGTAACTCTGAGGCAAGAATAGGGCCTGTGGTGGGAGGTGGGTGCTGAGCCAATGCAGGGCATTTGCTGGATGCCCTGCCACCAACCACTCCTGACAAGTGACTCTTGCATGCAGGTGGTGCAGGATCATCTGATTTGTGAAATTCTCATTGAGAAAGGCCGCAGGGGAAAGAAGATGATAGAAGCAACCATTACCTGCGAGTTTATTGATCCCCTTATGGAATTATCAGCCAGACAATTCTCTTTCAGAGTGGAGAAGGTAAGTCTCTGGATTGCATCCTGGCATTTAACAGCATGGCTGAGAGGGGTGTGTGCTTGTGTTAAAGCCCCTCTTTAGCCTTCCTGAGGCACTTTGTAAAGTGAGTGAAGATGCTTTTAGAGATGAGACTGGTAATTAACTTCCCCAATGTAAAATTGCAGTTACAGCTGCACTGCCAAGGGGGATCATGGCCACTTCCAGAGAAATGCCAATTTCTGTGCTCACTGTAAAGGGAGGTTTATGAGATCCTTCAAGGCATGGTGATGTCTGTACACCGATGCTGTAGGGCAGCTGGGAAAAAAATGGAGATTCCTGTGAATTCCTCAGGCTGACAAGGAAAAAAACCCATCATCTCCTGTGTCTCTTTGCCTTTCTTTGCTGTTGGCATAGGTGCTTTATGGTATAGCTATATGGTATAGCTCTGTGCATTTCCCTAAAACTCACCTGCTTCAAAGGACCCCCAGACATCCTGCAGCTGCAGTGATGATAACACTGAGGCAGAGCAGGTGCCCTTTAGTCTCTGGATCCCAACTCCAGCATCATCTTTCCCTCTGCTGCAAGTTATCTGAAAAAGAGAAGATGTTTTGTGATTTATTTTCTGTAGTTTCAGGCCTCTCCTCTGGTTCCCAGGCTTCCACTGAAGTACAGAATCCCTGGAAAAGGCAGTTCAGATGTAACTAGAAGCTCTTCAGCGCTCCCTGATTCTGCCTGGGTTATGCTCAATGCCACACACATAAAATGATTTATTGCATACTATGGCACAGCACTTGCCTGATATCATCCAGAACTAGTTTCCCAAAGTTTCTGGTTTCTCTAAACCATGCAGGAGGCCCAGCACAATGCATAGAGAGGAAGGAGGAGCCTTAGGCTGATCATAGCTTTGAGACCAAACACCATGTCCGTGTAGCAGGGGCTGCAGGACATATGTTGCAGATGAACTGCTTTTATGAGACTGCTAGAGCCAAGAAGGTTGTAAGAAATGTCTGTGTGTGAGTGAAGACCATCTAGTGCTGTTCTGCCCAATAGAGGGACAAAACTGGAGACAAATGGTCTGGATTTTCTGCTTTAGATCTTGTTCAAGCAGCCGCCTCCTCTCAGGGCCCTATTCCCTCATCTGTACATGGGAATATTTCCCTGTCCCTAGAGCATCCTGTGGGTTTCTAAACATGAAAAGCATCTGCTATAAAGAAAAATCTCCTGGAAGGGTAGGCACAAATAGAAAGAGTAAATAGAGATGTATGCACTTCTGGGGCTGAAAAATGTGAGATTCAGCAGAAGCAGAAGGAGGTCTGTGGCTCATTGAGCTGTGTTTCCTTGTCTCCTGTTTCTGTAGAAACCCAGTGATGTCTTGGCACTGCAGTACCAGCCTTTGTCTTTAAAAAACGTCTGCTTGCTGCCATTCAGCATTGTGCTGGACTTGGAGCAGCCATTTCTGGTCTGCGATGTGGACCAGCAGCCCCTCCCAGATGGCCAGGTGAGCAGCCCTGGACTCCTCCAGTGGGGTCTGAAGAGGAGGGATGTTGTGGTGCCTTTCTGTTGGGAGGTCCTTGAGTCAAGAAGTTTATTCTGTAGTGTCAGCAGTGGATTGGCCTGAGCTGCATCAGCAGAGCTGTGAAGGGGTCAAACTTTTATCTGAACTGAGAAGATCCATCCTGGCTTTAAGGAGAAGGGAGCAGGTAGCTAGGTCTGGGCCAGCCAGGCACTAAAGGCGTCTCCTGGAAAGCATCCCAGCTCTCCAGCAGCCACCCCCTTGTATTGCTGCTGAGCACAGGAACAAGGGCCTGAGGGAATCCTGGACTAGACTGTAGTGCCTGCAGTCAGACCATTGCTGTAAAGAAATGAATGATGAACTGAGGAGCCCATGCTGGGGTCACACTTCAAGCATTTACTGTTTCATGCTGTTAGACCTTGGGATGTCATCCCACAGGTAATTAATTACTGTTCATCTCTTTGCAGCCTGTGACACTGGATGTAGGGCAGACCTGTCATCTCTACATCGCTTTTGACCCAGCTTATAAACTGAATTTTCATAGCTGGGAAGAAAAGAAGGTTCTGAAGATAAGCATGGCCAACGGCCATCCTTATGTGGAGCATATCAGCCTTCAGGGAGAAGTCCACTTCCCCAATCTCCAAATTCATCCCAGCAGCCTGGAGTTTGGCTGCATCCTGGCTGGCACTGACAAAATGCGTTCTCTGCAGATGATCAACTGCAGCCCACTGCCTGTCCAGTACTACTGGTCATTCCATTCGGACAGCCATGTGAACAAGTTGAGGTATGTGCACCTTTGCCCTCTCCTTGAAGCTCCTCTTCCTGGTGTCTTGTTTGTACTTTGGAAAGAACAAAGCTGTTTGCCTAGGATCTGACACTCTTCTGACTTTTTCTTGTGCAGATAACACTGACCAGCCGTGGTCAAGCTGGATGCTTAGGGAATAGGTTTTCCACCAATTTTGTGAAGGAAAGCTGGGGTAAAAGCTGCTTTCTCAGACCTCTGCAGCCTGAGGCAATGTCCACCTTGATGAAGGGCTCCTAGTCCCAGTTCTCACAGTGCTGCTGGAGGCCCTTTTGGTCCCTCTGCTTTGGGATGGGTCCTCTCTGCAGGAGCTTCTCTCTGCTCCTTGCCTTCCTCCCTTGAATGGTGCTGGAGGATGCCCAGAAAGTCCCAACACCAAAGAAAGAGCTATTTAGCACCTGGGCTGATGCTGAACATCTTGTTATCTTCCCTTCCCTTCTTTTCTGAGACAATTCCTTTAGTGCTAGGATGATTTTTTTTCCCAGGGCTCAGCTTTCAGTGGACACCATGGATTCTTCGCTCCCTTTTTTTTGTGACACTTGTTACTCCTTTTGACTTTTCCCCACTGCAACAGGTCCCTTATGGGTTCTCTACTGCTTGACACAGGACTTGTTCGAACATCACATCATCTCCTATCCCTGCCTCCCAGAAAGTTTCTACTTCAGAGTGAAAAATGTCATTGTTGGGCACCATCGTCCTGGGAAGTTGCCTCAAATCATTCATTAAAAATAAAACAGTGGAATAGATGATTAGGGATCTCAAGGGTTATGATGAGAGAGCCCCTCATCCAGAAATGAAATCCAGCCTTAGATAACAAGCTACAAAGCTAAAGACTGATACTTTGGGGAGCAGGTCATTATAGGCATTGAATGCCTGTCTGGGAATGGAGCATCCAGGTTGTGTTTGACTGTGAGGAGTGCTTGTAGCTCAGCAGGGTGAGAGGCAGGCATGGCTCAACTGTGTCCCTCACGTGGCATTAGAAACACAAGCAGAGTTACCCTGAGCACCTGCTTCAATTTAACATGGGGAATGTGACCTGAGTCACCTGGGAGTGTTGGAAAATGTCAACCAATCTCCGAAGACTGTCAGGGAAACATTCCTGATAAATACCTGGTAGAGCTGCAGAGTTTCTGGCGTTGGGCACTGGGAGGGCTGTGCTGGTTCATCACTGGCCGGGTGTGCCCCTTGGTGACTCAAATCTCACCTTTTTGCTTGCCTTCTCTGTCTTTTCCTCTCCCACTGTGCCTTTTGCATCCCCACAAGGTTTTAATCCCTGTCCTCTGTAGTTCCTCAATGCAAGCAGTTACAGCTGCCTGCACCACTGCTACCTCAGTGTCGTCCCTGGGCTGCCTTTAGAACAGACCTGCTCCAGCCTGGATTAAGAAGGGCTGGATCAAACCATTTCTCAGGTCAACGCACCAGCACCCACCCAGCAGCTGCATCCTGACCAGGAGCTACTCGTGCAGGTGTCCCTTCCTCCCACAGCAGGTCCCTGTTCATAGTTATGTTATTTTCCAGACAAGAGCTTTACCCACCTAAGTATCAACCCCAACCACCAAGGATGAAGAGAACTTGTCATCCTTTGTCATCTCAATGGAGACGCTTCAAGATGACAACTCTGGAGGAGACAGCCTCACCCCTGAAAGAAGCACAGGATCTTGCCAAATCTTTAGGAGCAGAGGTAGATTTTCTTGTACACTACTGCTTGTGTTGCCTCCCCAACTTGCCACCAACAAGTCATGCTCTTGCTGACCTCCCTTTTTGCTGCCCTGCTGTCCTGTGCCCTGAGAGTGGGCTGGGCAGCACAGCCCATGGCTGGACATGGATGTGTGGGAGGGAGAAATAGGAGAGTTTTCCTTGAAGAAGCATGCTCAGATCCTACAGACCTGTGTTTAGTGTGGGATTTTTTTTTTGCCTTGTTTTCTTCACAAGATAAGACGAGGCTTTTATCTGCATCATGATGACAAGACCTCCAGCTTCCTTCCCAGAGCAAGCTGTGATGAGTCCTGATCTCCATGTAGCCTCTTCCCAACCCAGCCAGACCACCTGTTTCCAGGTGTCTGCTTTCACCTGACAGCTGGTATTGCAGTGGTGGCCCTGAAGCTGTCTTACAAACGGAGACTTTGCAAAGTGGCTGTCTCTTCCTCCTAGCATAGAAAATGGCTTGTTTTTCAGGTGCAGCCATATCATCCTGAAAGCCATTGCCCAGAAGAGTTGGAGAAATTCAGGTGTTCCGTGGATGTACTGTATACTCCCCTCCAAGTGGAGAAGGTAAGAGGGAATCTGTTTCACTTCCACATTTTCAGTGTTGCAAGCAGGGCTGTAGCTCCCAGTCCCATTGGTGGCCCTCAGCATTGCATATAAATCAGATAGTGAGGGGAAAAGCCTCAGGAGTCAGATGAGCTGGGCTGGAGTCTTTCGCTGACATCCCTGAGCTCCAAGAGCTCTCACTCTGAGTCTCCTCCTTTTCTAAATGCAGCAAGAAATGCTTTTTAAAGGCAAGTTGAGCATCAGAGAGAATTTCTACTGCCAAGAAACATCCCAGTTCTTTAGTGTAGTGTATTAATTAATGCATTGATCTGTGAGTATGGGAGAAGATTTTCCCCATGGTTCCTCTACTGATCAGTGACATGGACACAGCATGAGATCAGGGTGATTTTGGCTATGTTTGGAGAACAGGCCTCTCCAGCTTTACTTTACTCCAAGGCACAGCTGCTCTTCTGCATCCATTTCCACACTCAACATCTCAATCTCTCCTGTCCTCCAGGCTTTCACTATCCTGCCGCAGTTGGGTGTGCTGCAGCCAGGAGAGAGGCGACAAATCTCATTCACCTTCTCTGGCCACCTCAACACCATGGCCAGTGTTAGGGCACTGTGCCACGTGGAGGGAGGCCCCACCTACAACGTGGAGCTGACTGGGGAGGCCTCACGCATCAGCTACTCCCTGAGCCAGCGGGAGATCAACTGCGGCTTTCAGGTACCACACATGTGCCCTGGCACAGCTCCCTGCCTTGGAACCACGGCCAGCGGGTTCCTGCCCACCTCAGTCCAGGGCTTTCTTCCCTTCCAGCCCCTTTGTTGGCTCTGGGGCTTGGAAGTACAACCTTTGAGGGACACATCCGGCACCCAAGCTGGTTTAATATGGCCATCTCCAAGCCTCTCTAAGATGTTGGGAATGCCTCTTTTTCAGGGTACCTAACACTGCCTCCTGCAGCATTCAGTGGGGATGCTCTGAGGGGCATATCCCTGAGACATCCCTTTGCTGATCCACTCCTAAAGCCTGATCTCCCAAGGAGATGTTCTTGTCTAAAGCTCTTGCTTAATCCACGCAATAATCAAGTGAAGAAGTTGGGCTTCCAGTCACTATAATTGGAGAGACTGTCCCAGAATAATCCCCACTTCACTCTTTTTCAGTTGAAAACCCCCAGATATTTCCAGCTGCTGGCTCTGTCTGTGTTGCCCTGTGACTCCCTTGTTGTGTGTATGTTGCTTGCCAATACTTAAGTGCAGGTGCCTTTTCTTCTGAGATGCCTCAGTCTTGTCTCTGCTTCTCCTGGCTGTTGGTGACCCCTCAGAGTGCAGAGGGCCTGTGTCCCCTGGTTCATTTATTAGTGGCCCTCACATGATTGTTAGCACACCTCTGTGTGCTGCCAGAGCTCCTTGGTCCTGTGCAGGTGCCCTGTGCCTGGGGGTTCCTTAGGTTCCCAGGTGCCCGTATCTGCTCCCTGGTCTCTGCTCCCATGATGGGTGTGCTTTCAACCCCGGGAGAGAGGAAGGAGACTCCCAGCAGCAGGCCTGGGTCTGTAACTTCCCGCTCCTATGCCTTCTCTCCAGATGTTTAATAACCTTCATCACAGCACAGTCACCCTGGCGAACACTGGCAAGATTGAATTCAACTGGGTGCTAAACCTTAGCATTGCAGAGCAACATCTGCCTGGCATGTATCTGGTCAAGCCCACCAGTGTAAGTAGCACAAGTGACTGACCCCAGCCCTGTGTCAGGTGGCCCAGGAGGCTGTTAAAGGGAAAAAAGGGGGGAAAAAGTTGGAGGGGAAAAACCCAAACCCAGCCATGAGAGAGGGTTGTAAGCAATTTCTGCTGGTGGCAGAGAAGGTCAAAGAAGTGATCTCCTGACAGACTCCCCCATGGCCTTGGCTGGTAGATGGCTCTGCTGTCACAGGGCAGACACCGATGGGAGGCACAAGTGTGTTGGTCACTGTCCTGTCCTGTAAGGAGAGTAGAGTTATTTTTGATAGATTTCTTGGATGAAAATAAGGCATAAACGCAGCAAGTATTATATCTGAAATCTGTTTCTTGATAAAGAAAGGGTATGGTCCCGACCAGAAGGAGATAGAAAAGAGCAGAGAGAGAAAATGAGAAACGGAAAGAATAACAGAAGGCAGGGACAGAGCAGCGCTGTTACAACCCTGGGGCGCTCTGTCGGTGTCCTGCTCGCAGATGGAGCGTGTGTGCGGCCAGCCGCCCCGAGCGGCCGTGCCTGCCGCGGGCTGCCCACGACCCGCAGCCGGCAGCGGGCGCGGCTGGCCCGCGGGCAAACAGCCGAGCCCTAGGGTGCTGTGGCGAGCGGGACAGCGCCGACAGCAGGGTACACAGGCAGGAAAGTGGCTCTGCCGGGAGCTGGACCCTCCAGGTGCTCCCAGGCCAACAAAAAACCGAAAATGGCAGAGGAAAAACTGGCAGTGTTGACTGCTTTTGTATGCTGAGATTCCTCCTATAACTCAGCTATTTTAGGAAGGCTATTGGTCAGACGGGCAAAATTTTCCTGGGCTTTGGGGTCTGCCAACCTCCGAGGAGAGGTCTCTTGCAGCCCCCCAGAGACGGAGCCTGCCTGCATTTTCTCCTTGCAATCTCCTTTACACGTGGGGTGTGTAAAGGGTCCCACCATGTATATAGCCCCTGTAGTAATTTTTCACCCCATATCAGGAAGTGGATCTATAACATATGTTGTGGCATAAATAAAAATTTACTTGGTTCCTCACAGTTCCTCTGGGGACCCTGACAGCTTGGATCTCAGGTTGTGCTGGCACCAGAGTGTTTCTGAGGGTCACCTTAGCCAGGCTGTGTGATCACACAGGACATAGTCCTTGGCCCTGCCTCCTCCCTGCCAGTGCTAAGCACCACTTCCATATCCCTTACTAGGCTTGCTGCTCCCTGCCTCCTCCAGCTTTCATGCTGTACTGCGGCTTTGTGGGGCAGTGAGGGGGCCAGGGAGCAGCAGGCCTGGGAGAGCAAGGAGAAAAATTAACAGCATCCCACCACTGACCAAGCTGCTCAGTCCTGCCTGGATGTCTTTGAGCCAAAGCAGCAATCCTGCCTTTGTCCCTCCTTGCAGTGGGAAGAGGAAGCCGATTGGCTTTCCCATTTCTTCATGCCTGTCTCCTATAAGGGATGCGAGGAGCTGCTGGCCCTGCTGAGTGCAGGGACTTCTCTTCCACAGCAGCAGCAAAAGAGTTTTTTTGTTGAGGTGGGCTCTTGCTGGCAGAGGACAAACCCCGTTAGCAGCACAGCTGTGCTCACATCAGGCTGTGCTGGGGCTGCAGCCTTAGGAGCCCTTGGGGAAGCACACTGCACCCTGGGGTCAGAGTCTCGACCTTTTGGGCACAAGGAATGTAGAAGATGTGAGAAGCAAAGCCCACTCCTCAGTTAAAATTTAAAGAAAATTTAGTAAGAGACAACAGGGAACAAAGTCAGTAAAGCAGAAGTAACAGTGCTGTATGCTTAGCCGCATTAGCTGCAGTGAGAAGCACACCAGTCAACACATCAATACCCTTTATATACCCTGGGTATTGCATCAGCCTCCTACATATTTACAAATGATTATATGTATTCAAACATTTTTACATAGTTCCTCCTCCATCCTGCCTTTTTGGAGCATGTGCAGTTGTGCCAGTGGTGGTCATTTTTGACACATTCAACAGGTTTCCATTCCTTCATTGGTTAAATGTTAATATTACATCAACTCTTCACCAACATTGGTCTCACAACACAGCATAATATTCACATTAAAAGAACTCTAAACTTTAGCAAAACTTGTTTTACAAAAGTCAACATTTATAAAACACATAGTATTTAACAATTGCAAAAGTCAACACAGTAATATATTTATCACAAAGATGATGTGGTCTGATGGTTTCTTTTAGATAAGAACCTGTCCTCTCAGTCTGTCTGTCCCCTGAGCTGTCAACACTGATGCATTCCCTCCCTCTTCTCCCATCCCTGCAGGGTTCCATTGCACCTGGTGGGAAGCAAGTGCTGAAATTCTCTTACATGCCAGGATTACCAGGAGCCTTCAGCAGGACTTTCCATCTTAAAGTGGCAGAACTGGAGCCAGACAATATCTACCTGAAAGGAGAAGCCTTCTTTCCAATGATCAGTGTGAATCTGCCCTGGATCAGTGAGGGTGGGCACTGCCTGTCTCCCCCTAGGAAGGGCCCCTCTGGTTTTGTTCCCTGCCATATGCCATAGGGTAGCTTATGCCCACCTCCACCAAGCCTGAGGTTTGCAGGACTCCCAGACCAACTCAAGCCCTCTGGTTGCTTCATGAGCTTTGAGCAGAGGATCCCATGTGGGCTTTGTCCCAGGAACTGTCCTGCAGAGCTTGCCAGCACATCTGGCAGGGCCCTGAAGGATGATGGCTAGACTGAAAGGCTTGGGAAAGCTGTAAGAGAGGCTGGCAGGGCTTCTGACAGGGTTGGATTTGTGTGACATTGCAGGCAATGAGATGCTCCTCTGTGGGGAGGAAGATGAGTGGGAGCAAACATGAGGATTCAGAGAGGAGCAGCAGCACCCACTTTGTATAGATGGCTTCTTTCTGGAAGAGGGATTTCTTTCTGGAAGAAACCAGTGTTGGGAGGCAGGGACTTCCCAGCTTCAATGAGATTGGCACTTTCCTCACACTTCTCTTTGTGGACGTTTTCTTCCTTCAGGAAATGAAAAATATGAGAAGCCACTGAAACAGCACATAAAACCCCTGCATCAATACAGTCAGAGGAATAAATCAGTTGTTCAGAAGAAGACTCAGAGCCTGAAGACCTTGAAGTCTCAGACCCTGAAAACTCAGACCTCGAAGACTCAGAACCTGAAGCTCCGCGTGCCTAGCTCTGGCATTGTAGTAAGAGCAGCTGCAGCCCCGTTTGGCACATGCCACCCTCTCTATGGCACCTGAGCCCCTTGCAGCCCACAGCAGCGTCCTGGTGCCCTGATGGCACCTGGGACCTCCCTGCCCACTTACAACCATGTGTCACCTCAGCATTGCCCCTAGGACTTCCACTCTGGTCATGCTCTCCTCTGGGGTTGCACCAGCTTCCTGGCTACCCCAGGGAGAGATCCTGAAGGCCATGCTCAAGGGATGGAGCTGATGGTGCTTTGAAGGAGATACAGGTCATTGCTGAGCAGTTTGTTGATCCCAGTCCAAGCCCTGCCAGATTTACAGACCTGAGCAGCAGCTGCTTGATTGTGCCCTGGGACTGTGCTGGTGGTGCTCATCTCCAAGAGGCACCAGCTTGGTCCCGGTTCCCTTTCAAGACAGCTTTTGTCCAAGGTGCCTTGGTAGTGGCTGGGGGCAGGCAAGTATCAGGAGCTCTGGAAGGTTCCTGGCTTGTCTGTCTGCCTGGCCAGATCAGGCAGACTCTGCTAATAATGGCTGGGCAGGCGAAGATGCTGGAGTTATTTCTGGGGAGATGAGATCCTGGCTGAGAGGGCAGGAGGTGTCACAGACACTGAGCAGGCAGACAGGAGGACCCCATATCCCCTCTCAGCAAGAGCAGGGTAGGTGGGATCCTTTCTCAGATGCAAACCTTGGGAAAGACCTTTGCTAACCAGGCACTGTCTTCCCTTTCTTCAGCCAAACACTCAGCTGCAGATAGAGACGGTGACGAAGTTGGTAAAGCAGCTTGCTCTGGAGCTGCAGAAAAAGCTTCTATTATATCCCCCAAACAGCAGGGTCGTGGACAACGAGGTGTACCAGGATCTTGTCAAGTGAGTAGGGACTCCCATCCCCATCTCCAGATGCCCCGTGGGGAACACCCAGCACTGTCCCCTTGTCCTGAGAGCTCCTTGTGTCTGCTGAGCTGGGAATAACCTGGACTTCAGAAAGGGTGTGGTCCTGGCGGCTGTGACACTCATGTGAGCAGTGGAGTGTCCTCCCTTCCCCAGCACCACGCTGAGCTTTGGGCTGCTCAGCTCCCCAGAGGTGTGGGGTTCTGTTCCTAGAGCTGAGGACAGTGCAGACCTTCAAGTCCTTCCAGACAGCATAAATTCTGTCCCTGCTGGCTAGCTCTGAAAGAGACAATTCCCAGCTGATGTCCTGGTTCCAACTAACAGAGCACAGTAAATAAAAGAAGGGAACTGCATATGTCAGCAAACCCTTTAAAACCCAAAATAGGAAGGCTTGAATCCTGTTGGGGTTGCAGGGCTTATCTAGGTAACTTGGTCTGTCGCTTTGCAGCATCATGATGCAGCACAAGCATGGGAGGCTTCAATTCAGGAAGAAGATGCTGTGCAGAACAGATCATGTGATCTGGTTGCAGAGCAGTGAAGACTTCCTGTGCAGGCAAATCTTATTCCTAGGCCCCAAAGCAATTTCAGGCTCAGGCCATACACCAGGCTAAGCAGTTTCATTGAGACCAGTGGAAGCCCAGTGTACTCACCTATACTGGCTTTTCATGGCAGAGGAGCTGTGGCCAGTGTCCATTTTAAATTAATTTTATTTTCAGGTACCATTAGTAGCTGATAAAACCTAGGACCTATACTCCTGACTTCCCAAAGTCATTGCCAGGTGGTCAGGCCATGGGTTTCATGGGCTTGAACTGAGTTTTTACAACAGTGAATAACGAACTAGCCACTTTATTTGTATCCTCCATCCACCTGGACATGTAGCCAGGCTGTGGTTTAAGGACTGTCCTTACTCCTCCTTGCAGAGTGGAGGTGCCCGAGTATGTCCTGGACATGGGCATTGTCCTTAAGGGTGACACTGAGACACGCTCTCTGGCAATCACCAACCCTGGGCGGATGCCGGTGTCCTTCCAGGTCGATGTATCTGCCCTGCAGGACACAGGTAAGCAGTGCTGGAGACACTTGCTGTGGGCTTGAAGGAGATGTCTCAGACAGATGAGCTTAAGCCACTGAACTTGGGGAGGTTTTTGAGCTTTTTTTTCTCAGTGCCTGTGCTGGGAGCTTTCGAGGCAGAATTCTCCTGGGCAGCCATGCCCAGGGCACCTGGGCTGTCTGTGACTGCCCTAACGCTTCAGTGCAGAGGCCAGATGGGCTCATCACCCATGTCACCTCTCAGCATCTTCTGCCCTTGGCTCCCACGAGCATCAAGTCTCTCTGGGCGCTCTGTGGGCTTGTTTTGCAAAGCAGCGGGGTCTGCTGTGTTTTGGAAATGCTTTATTTTGGAGTTCACACTGTCACAGCACTTGTAGTCAGCCCTTATTGAGGAAACAGCCTGTGACATCCTCTGGTGGATTAAAAGAGGCCTTGAGTCAAAGCTGCGCTTCCATCACACAATGGCATGCTGCTCTGAGGAGTGTTCAGGTGCGCTCTTAAGTTTTTGTCCAGGTCACAGCATGGCATGGGGTTTTCCCGAGACTTCTTAGCCAGGACACCTGTAAGGCCTTAATGTGCTTATGACACATTTCATGTTTCTTGTGTATCTCAGCTGCTTTGTTTTCATCTGTTCAAGGTTTCAGAGTGAATCTGGACCAGATACAGAGCCTGCCTCACAGACACACCATAATGTTTGAAGTGTGCTTTGAAAGTACCTACCGGATAGAGGGTGACGTGGATGTGCTGCTGCCCATAGAGGTACCACAGCTCTTGGGGCAGGCAGCAGGCTGGGCACAGCAGCAGATGTCACCTGCACCCTCCACTGACTTCTCTGTCCTTCTGCAGGTGGCAAAAGGCCCCACATATAACATCCGCCTCCGTGCCACTGTGTTGGAACTGTCTCTTGACTTCTCCAAGAACACAGTGCAGTTCTCTGATATCCTCGTTGGGCAGTGCCAGATTGAGACAGTCCGGCTCTACAACTGGTTCCAAGTACCCTGCAAATGGTTCATTACTGCCATCAAGCCTGTCATGAAGGTAAAGCACATGCGACATTGAACTTCCAATGTCTTGGTTGGATTTTCTTTGTGTTTCTTGCCCTTTCTGCTCCTGTGGCTGTCTGAGCACTTGGGTCTACAGCGTGTATAAGGAAGCTTATGAGGGTCTAGATCAAGACTGGTTTGCTTGGACCTGTTCCATTAGCTGATGCTTTGCTTTTGTGCCATCTTCACCCATTCCTCCTCCTCTCAGGACAGTAGTATCTTCCTGCCCTGTCTACAGGTTTTCACTCCACCTCCGGGCTATGGGGGCCACACTTGGTTTGGCTGTGGGTGCTCTCAGCACTCTGTCAGTGTCTCAGAGCACTACAGGAACTGAGGCTCTGCCCTCGCAGACCGAGGAGTCCTCACATGATTGGTTTCTGTGCCCAGGACAATCAAGGCAAATACAGGACACCGCGTCAGAAGCAGCAGGCGCTGGAGCATGAGCTCTGTCCCTTTGAAGTGACGCCCTCCAAAGGAATCCTCGATCCAGGAAGGTGGCAGAACTTGCAAATCCAGTTTACACCCAAGGAGGAGGTGAGATTGGCAGGTGTCAGCCCAGGAGGCCTGTCAGGGCTACCTGGAAATGAGGGCCTGGTGCAGAGAGTGTGATACGAGCTCTGCCTTCACAGGGAGCTTTCTGCAAGCCCTGTTCTCAGCGTGGTTCAGTTCACCCCACAGAGCACTCTGGTGAGATGTGCTTTGAAATGCCCACAGGGAGCTTGCACAGAGAGAGAGCATCAGGGCTCTGTGGCTGCCTCCAGGCACATGGGGGGATGTGCCCAACTCCCCTCAGCCTCCCCCTTGCCTGGCTGTATTTGCAGCTGCAACACTTGGTGCAGAGCAGCTGCACGCTTGCAGAGGATAATCCTGGAATGGCCAGTCTAGGCTCATCCTGCTGCAGAACTGACCGACAAAACAGCCACCAGACACCTTCCTGGGTATGGCAGGCCAGTCACCTGTAGTGATGTGCTGCCAGCAGTTCCTGAGGCTCTGGCCTGCCTGCACATTCCCATGCAGCTGGGCATTCAACTTAAAGGATGGAACATTCCCAAAAGTAGTTTGCCTGTGCCTGCTGGCTCTTGGAAACTGACAGTGTGTACCAGTATGGACACAAGTGCTTCTGTGCCCACGAACAGTCCCAGGGATCTTTTAGCTGCTTGAGAGATGTAACCATCTTGTGTCTGGCTTTGACCAGAGCCAAACACTGAGTAGAGAAAATGACCCTTATTTCTAGCCAGCGAGAGCTCATTTGCCTCTCTCCTGGAGCTGGCGTTTGCCTGATGCAGCAGTGCCAGGACTGTGTCTGGACACTGTAACCCCGAGGGCCCTTGTCATGAGCACTGCACTCCTGCATGACTAGGTGAAAACGCCTGACAGTCCATTGTACATCCATCTGATACCCAAATACCCAGTTAGAGTGCACACCAGGGTTCATTCAATTATTCAGACCCAGGACACAGATGCTGTAGTATCTAGCATAAGTAAACATCTGGTTTCCATTCATCTTGGAGGGACTGATAACACCCTGACCTTGGGGCAAGCATTGTATTTGGGGCCCTGTCACCTGGGACTCCATGGATAAGTTTTCTGCACTTTTCTGTTTTCAGAGGTCTTACAAGAATGACCTGAAGCTTAACATTTGTGGGAGCAGCCATCACTTAAAGCTGTACCTCTCAGGAAAAGGTCTGGAGCCACGGTTGGAGTTCAACCCCCCAGCACTGAAGATGGGATGGGTGCTGGTGGACAGCAATGGGGTGGACACCACAGTGGTGGTGAAGAACCCATGCAACTTCCCTGTTGAGTTTTACTCACTGGATTTTGATGAGCAGTACCTTGAGGAGGAGAAGGTGAGAAGGCAGGTCTGGTCCCCGTGTACATGCTGCCCGAGCTTCACAGCACTCCAGCATTCCCAGGCTTGTGCCAGGGAGATGGAGGCAATCCCCAGGGAAAAGCTAACTCTGCTGATGTGCTGTGGGAGGACTTAAATAGTTTGTGTTGTTGGGAGGAAGGGAGGAGACAGAAAATGGGTTTGTTAAGTGCGTGTGATGAGAGGTGAGAAAAGGAATCTTGTGTATGGTTTCTCTTCCCTGCGTGCACAGATCCTGCGGATGGCACTGGGGTCTGAGTACCAAAAGAACTTTCTGATGCCTCCACGCGCCGGGAGTGGGACGCTGCCCCCAGAGGTGCTGGAGGACTATGAAGCACAGAAGAGGCTGAAGGCTCAACAGGGAGAGCTCAAGGCCATGGCTGAGGCCGAGGCCATGGGTAAGGCAGCATCAGGTCAGAAAAACAGTGAGGGTTTGGTGGTGTCTGTCTTGACTGTGGTCACAGCAGAGAGTCCAGCCATACACCCTGAAGTCTCTGTCACCTTGTTCTCCAGGGAAAGCCCATGCTTTTAGCAGCTGTCTGTTCCCCAGCTTGGTGGAGGAACTCTTGGGTAAAGGGCTGTGGCATCCTCTACCAACCCTGAATGTAGCCAAAGCAAGCTCCTATCTGCCTGCCATAGACTGGGGAAATAATCAGAATATTCCCTTGTGTCCCTTAGCCACAAAGACTAGGATTGCATGAGTTCTTCAGCCAGCAGGACTAGGTCTAATATCACTGGCTCTTTTATATTTGCTCCTTCCTAGCAACAAAACAACAAGCTCATGTTGCTTTGACCAAGTCTCCTTTCCTGGGATCTGAGGAGATGGGAGGATGATGAGGATCAAAGGAAGGTGGGAAGTTGACTTTTCCCCTTGGTTTTGCACTGCAGCATATCACGAGGCTGTCACATCCTCTCCTGAGCCCATGGTGGAAGTGACTGGGAATTCTATCTCTCGGGCTGTCACCCACCACCTGGACATCAACCCATCTTCAGAGAGGCGTGAAGCACAGCAGGACAGAGGGATTGCTGTCATTGTCCATGGGCCACCCCGGGCAGGTATGTGAGCTGCAACCCTGGGCTGCAGGGAGAGGGGCAGGCAGGAGGAACACATCCTGGTGGACCACAGTGCTTACACCAAAGTCCCCAGCTGAACAGGAGGTGGAGATGATCCTCCTGACTCTAGAATTCAGAGCTTGTACCCACTCTCCAGCTGTTTCCTTCATGGCCTCCCCAGAGGGACACTTGCTTTCCCACTGACTTTTAACTTTGAAATCTTGTTCGAGATTTGTCCAGGGGTATGTCCCTGTAATGCCTCATATGCAAGTGTCACCAAGTAATCCTCCTCTCTCTCAGGAAAGACAGAGGTAGTGGAGGCCCTGTGTCGCTACTATGACGCTGCTCACTTGTCCATTGACACCGTGGTGAAAGAGGCCATTGCCGATGATCAGAGCCAAGCAGGGCGCTGTGCTCGGGAGCTTTGCACCAAGGCTGCCATGGAGCTGAAAGACGAAGAGGAAGGTAATGCTGGGAAGGAGAAATGCTGGACACAGAGAAACCCGCTGTGACTGTCCACTTCTGCTTACTCAGAGCAGCAGCTTTTCAGTCCTTGGGTCTCTTAGGGAACATGGGTGAAATGCATCTCTGGCTTGTCTAAAAAAAAAAGAAATCAATTTTAAGGGCTCAGTCAGGGGTCCTTTTATAGCCCCTTTGCTGCCATTCTTGGCACATGTTCATTTTTCTAGGGGTGGTGAAGCACGCCTGTCTTTCCCAAATATTTTATATTTCCTCTAAGCTGAATTCAGCTTGCTCTTCACGGTCAGCAGGCAGAACTGCTGCCCACTTTAACAAGGAAAAAGCCTTCTGAAGTGGCTCATTAAGCACAGGAGGACTGACTATGAGTGCAACCTTGGGAAGGACAGCCTCCCAGAGGAATTTCCAATGAGAGACATGCTACAGATGAGCTCTTTTCTCCAGAGGTTTATCTATGCCCACTGTCAGGGTACACATCTCGTGCATGTTGGGCTGCTCTCCACGTAAGACTGGAGACTTTAATGAAACTTACTGGGCAATTGGTACCCTGAGCTCTGCAGGGTGAGGCAGACCTGGCTCGATGCAGGGGGAAGTTTTGCATTGCTCAGTTTTGAACCTGAGTTGGGAGCTGATGGAAGGAAGAAGAGTCTGGGTCCCAGCTGGGGTTTTCCCACAAGGAGGATTTCATTTCAGTGGAGACAGGTGATGCAAGTGGGTTAGGGCTGCAGATCTCCACATGAGAATGCAGGATGGATGCAGTGTATAGAAAAATGGTCCTGAAGGACGAATCTTTTGGCTTGAACTGCTGTGCAAGCAGTGTCATCTGCATGCACAGTTGTTAGGAGGGACACAGTGCTGGCTTTAAAATCAAGTATGAGATGGAGTGCTTTACCATGCTGGTAGGAGAAGCAGGGAGGGAGCTGCTTCTGGGAAACAGTGCTGCCACTGCCCAGCAGACAGGGGAAAAAGTGCCACGTTCCTTCCAGGGCCCAAGATTGTGCACATTGCAGGGAAAGGTGCCTAATTGCTTTTCAATGACCCCATGAACTATCTGTCCCCTGTGCAGATACAAAGTTTCAGCTCACTGCTCAGAGGGAAAAAATCAACAAGAAGAATGCCAAAGGCAAGAGTCCTTCAGCACAAAAGAGAAAGGAGCCAGCCAGCAAACTTGACAAAAAGGTAAACATCATCTGCCCTGGTTGATGCCTGGGACCTTTGCATTGTCTTTGAGATAGGCAGGGGCTGCTTACAGTGGAAGTTGTGTGCCAGCCAGGCCTGGTGTGTGGGTCTATAGTGCCAAGCCCAGCTGGTGGGCTGGGTGTGACTTGGGCTGGGAATGTGCTCTGGCAGATAGCTGCACTGGTTCTCAGTGGTTTGCTGGCAAAGTGCAGTGCTGGCTAGTGTGGCTGCAGGCAGTGAGCAAAGTGCTGGGAATATGCACTGGGGGCTTGCAGACTCAGGTCTCTGCTGGCCAAGAGATGAGCCCTTCACCTGGAGCCCCCAGCCTGCACTGCAGGGTTGTTCTAGTCTCCACTAGTGAGGAATCCCAGCTTCAAGCCCAGCAGTAGGAGTTGTTCAGGGCTTTCCACCGTGGTTTGTTTTCCCAACAACGGTCTGCATTACAGTTCACAGTTTCCACTGCTCCTGCACCACAGCAACTGAACATCATCAGCAGTCATGGGGAAGAGCTGAACTGCTTGAGCTGTGTGCTGCCTGAGGACCTGCTGGTGGACATCCTCAGTGAGAGGCTGAAGGTGTGTGGGGTGGGGGAAAAGGATTCATTCCTGCTCCGGAGAGACAGACAGTGAGGTACGACTTGGAGAGGAGGAGGAGGAGGAGGAGATCTGTATGTGCTGTTGGAGGATCCTGGACTGTGTGCAGAGAACCTTGAGGGAAGCTGTAGATGCCCTTAGTTGGCAGAGTGTAAGAACAGATCCAAGCTGGTCTTAGCTAATGCACTTGGAACAAGGATAGCTGCTGCCTTGTGACATCTGTTTACTGTCCAGCTGCGAGCCCCCTGTGTGCAACGGCTGACTTGCTCTTCCCTTTATTCACAGCGTGAAGACTGCTACAAGGGAGTGGTCTTTGATGGCTTGGAGAGCCTCTTTGCAAGCAGCCTGGAATCTTCTCTGCTTTGTGTGTTCAAAGCTGTCAAGAATCGTCATCATATATACAGGGTGAACCTGCATCAGGATTATGCTTCTTGGAAAGCCACGGAGGAAGCTGAAAGAGAGAAGGAAGGTGAGATATCTCTCTCCCCTCTCAAATCTTTCTCAAGCCCTCAACCCCATCTCTGTGTATCTGGGTTTGCAGCAGAGCTTGTAAGAAACATCTTTATTAATCTTTCCACTTTCTGCCTCAGTGTAACCAGAACTCAGAGTTGCAGGAGATCTGAGGTTTTAAGACTCACCTTAATCTCTAACATTAAAGCTTGGGCACAAGTGCAAGCTGCTGTAGCTCAGTGACAAATGACTGTCCTCAGCCTTGGTGCGCTTAGGCCAGGCAAAGCACAGGAACTCACTGCCCAGCCATAGTTTGGGGGATTGTCTGAGTTTTGGAGCAGGGATATGAGCTCCCAGCATCTCCTGGTATGATAGGCTGGGTTGGGAAATGCTGTGAATCTTTGCAGCTAACCCAGAGCACCCAGCTCTGCTTGTAGTCACTCATGGTTTCTCCTCTGGTTTGTGCTAAAGAACTGCAGAGGAAACAAGTTTTTCAGAGGAACATAGAACATATCTTGAAAATGGATGAGCATGAGTATTATGCCTTCCCTGAGGAGAAGAAAGCTCTAGTGGATAAAGTAATACAGGGAAGGAAGCATCTACGGAGAGAGAGGTGAGTAAGCCTTCCATGGATTACTGCTCAGGGTAGTGTCCTTGGAGGGTTTCCCTGCTCCAAGGACTCTGAGCTCAGAGGTGTTTGATAGCAAAGGCCAAAAGCAACACAGGGATGGCCACTCTTAGCTCCGTGGCTCCCAAGAGAGGAAGGACCTTCTTCTCTTGAGATAGAACATCTTCTCTATTTTAGTGGTGAGCCCTCCTGGTTTAGATGCTGCCCGCAGGGAGCTGGTTCTGGGCTCGCCTTGGAACTGCCTGTAGAAGTGTCTTTCTGATGTTGATTTGCACCTTCTTTATCATCTCCCTTCTTCACCAAAACAGTGGGGTCGTGGTATGGGCAAGTGTGGGGCACAGACAAACCCTTGTTTTGGGTCCTGGTCCTGCTACAGATAAAGTCCTTGCAATGCTGATCTGCCAGGGTTCTCCTTATGCTGGGACACCACCCATAAAAGCTCATGTCCTTTAGGCTCCCCTGCAGCTGCAGAAGTAGGCAAGCTCTGATCCAGCAAGGAAGCCCAGCTCAAGACACACAGGAGTGTGGAGCTGGGAGGTGAGGCTGCTTAAAGCAAGCCTGTGTATCAGGACTTCTTTCCGCTCAGGCTGAAATTGGTTTCATAGGGAGGAGATGGACGAGGCTGCTTCAAATCATTTCCATGGCAGATAGCACTAGTTTGCCTCGGTCACAGCTGGGTTCCAGCAGGAAAGCTGGCTGACAAGAGCCTGTCTTGCAGGAGAGGAATTCCTGCAGCCTTTGCTTTCTGACTGATAGGATTATTCTCATTAAGGAGCAGGCTATGCCCAGGGAGAAGGGGGCTGAATGAATCGAGTAAGAATTGTAGGAAAGACAAGCAGACGTTAGCAATTTGTGATGTGGTTTAAACTGGGAAATCAAGAGACGAAGGGTGTTTTCAGGCATCAGTGCAGAGAGCTGGTGGATCAGCCTTGGACAGTGGGCTGGAAGTGTCTGGGTGTACCTTAAGAGGGGGGTTGTACAGTCGAGATCTTATGATGGCAAGGCTCTGGGGGTTGAGGAAAATCCAGGGAAGTGGTCTTGTGGTTCTGCCTAGCCTCAGGGTCAATGAATAAAGTTCAGGGCCAGCCAGAGCTAGTGAGCCCAGGTTTGTGGTGGTGACTCTCAGAGATGTTTTCTGTTTTGTTTTCTGAAGGGAGCTGAGGCAGCTGGCTCAAAAGCTTGAGGAGGAGGCAAAAGCCTTAGAGGAGGCAGAGAGGCAGAAGGAGGAAGAGAGGCAGAAGGAGGAAGAGAGGCGGAAGAAAGAAAAAAAGGGGAAGCAGCCTGTGAGACTAGAGAAGAATGAAACCAAAGCCCCAGAGAAGAAGGAAACCAAATCCCCAGAGAAGGAAATCAAAAGCCCAGAGAAGAAAACCAAGCCTTCAGATAAGAAGGAAACCAAAGCCTCAGAGAAGGGGGAACCCAAAGACCCAGAGAAGAAGGAAACAAAAAACCTAGAGGATGACATAACCAAAACCCTAGAGGATACAATAAACAAAATCCTAGAGGATGAAATACCCAAAATCCCACAGGAGGAAACTGAAATCCTAGAGGAGTGTAAATACAAAGCCCCAAAGATCTGGGAATCCCCAGAAAAGGAGGAAACCGAATCCTCAGAAAAGGAGGAAACTGAAGCCTCCGAGAAGGGGGAACTCAAAGCCCCAAAGAAGGGAGAAGCCAAAGCTCCAAAGAAGGGGGAATCAAAAGTCCCAAAGAAGAAAACCAAAGCCCCAAAGAAGGGAGAACCCAAAGCCCCAAAGAAGGGGGAACCTAAAGTCCCAAAGAAGAGGAAAACCAAAGCCCCAAAGAAGAGGAAGCCCAAAGCCCCAGAGAAGGAGAAAACCAAAGCCCCTGGGAAGGAGGAACCCGAAGCTGCAGAGGAGGAGGAATCCGAAGCTGCAGAGGAGGAACCCGAAGCTGCAGAGAAGGAGGAACCCGAAGCGCCAGAGAATGGAGAACCCGAAGCCCCAGAGAAGGAGGAACCCGAAGCCCCAGAGAAGGGGGAACCCGAAGCCCCAGAGAAGGGGGAACCCGAAGCCCCAAAGAAGGGGGAACCCGAAGCCTCAAAGAAGGGGGAACCCGAAGCCTCAAAGAAGGGGGAACCCAAAACCCCAGAGAAAGGGGAAACCAAAGCCCCTGACAAAACCTCAGAGTACCCAGCTGAGATGGATAAGAACTTGATTCAGAGGTTTCAGATCTATGAGTCATCGCAGCAGGATGTCACCCAGCTTTACACCTACTTTGACACTGTTCAGGGTACTGTGCAGTTACCTGTGGTCCAAGACGGAAACACGTCACAGCCTTCAGCTGAAAACAAAGGTCAGAAAACCAGTAAGCCTCAGGAGAAGGTAGAGAAGAAGCCTGAACAAAAATCTGGAGGCCAAAGGAGTCTTCATTCATCTCAGCTGGAGACACAAAGCGAAGTTGCAGAAGAAGAAGTCAGAGACGAGTATATTTCTGGGGTGCAGTGCTTGGACATCCAGGTCACAAATCCGAAGGCCATGATTAGAGAGATCCTGACAAATGGGAGGCTGCCAACAAAAGATGAGGTAAAACCTTGCAAGGCTCAGATTTTGAGCTTGTTGTGGTCTTAGGCCCTGGAGCATTGTGTCCCCCCAGGTGATAATGGCACAGAGCCTTGTCCAGGCCCCTGATGATGTTCCACAATGACTCTCTAGCATCTGTGTGGATGGGGAGGTTATCACCATCCCTCAGTGGGCAGAAAGTGGGAGTGCTCTGTGTACAAGTATCCCATCTGTTCAGAGTTTCCCAGCCTGGAAATCATAAGCAGTCCCAGGACAGGACAGCTCATGGTTATTGTTCTCTTCAGCTGAGTCACCCTGGAAGAGGTTTCTCTCCCAGTCCTGCTTGTAGCTCTTGGCTCTACTCTGGAGCCTGCTCACCCCACTGGGCATAACAAAGCACTTGTAGTTCACATCAATGAAAAACCTCATTGCCAAAAGCTCAGTGCCTTTAAAGACGATGAAGGTGAGAGAAGTATAAACAGGATTTTCTCTTCTGTTTTAGATGCTGAGACATCTGGGACTGCATCCCGACAGGCCTCCCCTTCCCCCTGCTGCTGTCTTCTCTGTAGTCAACTACCCAGAGGAGCGGTTGGGCTCTGCAGAGCTTGTGAAGCCCTTCACCATTGCTGCACCAGAAAGTGCTGCTATGGAAGACGGTCTGGTGGGTGCTCCAGTGGTGCTGGCACTGAAGGTGCCAGGAGAGGGACCAGGATAGATGGGGGCATGGGGGACAGATTGGATGGAGAAGGATCATTGTGGAGAGGTAGTGAAGATGTGATGGAGCCTCGTGTCTGCAGGTCTCCTTTCTGTCAGGGATAGGACAAAAGAGACAACTCTGTGGGACACACAGCAGTTCTGTAAGATGAGGGAAAAAATCACTTAAAACCATCAACTTCTTTTGAGGAGAGGGTCCTGAGTGAGAAGGGTTGTCCTAGGTAAAACAAACACCAAAAAGGAAGACCAAGTCCCTGGGCAGGTGGACTTATTTATTCTCTCTTCCATTGGTTAACAAAGCCCCACTTTGATGTCTCAGGGCTCACCTCTCCCTCCCTTTTCTCTCTCCCCTTAGGCCAAGGCCCCAGATGCAAAGGGCAGTTCTGCCGAGGGCCAACCAAAGATGGGTAAAGCGGCCAGCAGAGGTAACTCTCCAAAGGATAACCAGATCTTCACACAAAGAACAGAAAGTCCCCGGGATTCCTCCACAACAGGATCCAAAAGTGCACTCAAAAAAGCCTCAGCCCCCACAGAATTCCTCAGGTGAGCCACACGGGAGGAGGTGATGCCTCTGCTTCTTGGTCCCCTTGCCAAACAAGATCCATCATCCCCAGCTGCACAGCGACCCTGTGCCAGTGCACCCTCCTTGTTTCATTTGCTCCTTAGCAATGTCTGAACCCTCATCTTTAATTGCCAGGCTGAAACGGTACCGGTGGATAGTGCCTGCCCACGGTGAGGTGGAACTGAAGGTCCACTTCTCCACCAAAAAGCCAGGGAAGTTTGAGCAGACACTGAGGTTTGAGCTGGTGGAGACAAAGCGCCAGTACAAGCTGCCCTGCAGTGGCACCGGCCTGTACCCCAGCATCAGCCAGAACCCACGGTAAGGCTGGCCCCTGGCAGCCTCCCACACTGCTGCCCTGGAACTCACAGCCAGGGCTGCCCCTTGGGGATTCTGGCCTGGGCAAATCATGCTGCCTGAGGTCACTCAGCATCTCTTCCTGTGCTGGGAGCTAGGGAGGCAGATGGTACCTCAACCACCAGGAAGGGTTATGGCTTTCTGACTACATTTCCTACTTAGAGCATCTCATATCTCCTTCTTTCCCACTTTCGCTGCCCAGGCTGGTGTTTCCGCAGTGGAGGCAGACCATGGAGGCAGATGAAATCATCTTCAAGGAATATGTTGAGAGCACAAAGCAATTCCACTTTGGACCTCTGCTGTGTGGGAAATCAAGAGAGTGGTATGTGCTCCCTGCTGGGCCTTGTACTTTTCTGGACACGCTTGGAGAGACATGCTGTCCTGGTGGCACAGTCCAAGGCAGCCCCCAGCAGACACATGGGTTTGAAGGACTACAGATGTGTGAACTTGAGCAGATAAGAGGCAAATGAGCCTTGGAGGAGCTGCTCTGCCTACCCGGTGGGTGTCTTGGTGGCCGCCTTGGTGGTCAGAGCCACATGCTGCTGCCAGTCCAAAGGTGACATGGGGGACAACTTCTGTCCCTCTCCACATCTCAGCGTCACCCCTATGGAAATGAACTTTTTTGAAGTGCTTTGAGCTCTGCAGGTAGCCTGATGGAGCAATTATTCTGTAGATGGTTTTGTAAATCTTTCATTAATCTGTAATTATTAATAAGATTTTATGGTTGATGTGCCAATGGGTGTCAGGGGGAATGTACAGCAGGAATTACATTTTCCTGTGATGCCATTGCATCCTCACTGCTGGATAAAATCTGCCTAAACACATTGTTATTGAAGCTATTGTGTATTTCTACTTTTACTGTCGCTTGTTTTTTTAATAATATTTAACATTTAGTCCTTGTCTCCATGGGAGCTCTGGAGGGCTAGGTCTATTTTGGCAACCCTAGGAAATGAAATTGAAATAGCTTAAAAAAGCAGATAATCTTTAGCCAGGTTGATGGATGGTCTGGGATTTCTGTTTGTCTCTTTAACTCTTTCACTCCAAAGTTATTTCCACACCTGAGAGAAGGGTCATTTGTAATCTTTTTGCATTCCTCTTGGGAATTGATGCTTTATTTATTTCATTCTTTTTATTTATTTATTTATTTTTATTTCTTTTAATTTCTTTTTTATTTTATTTATTTATTTTCTTATTGCTTTTTATTATTTATTTATTTATTTATTTCTCAGACTTTGAGCAAACCCATGAAATCCAAAGCAGCTCCATGATTTTTATGAAAGAGATTAGCTAAACTTTTTTCCAAAAGAAAAGAGTTTAAAGAAAGAGTTTTCTTTCTTTATACCCTGCAGGGAAGGCACCCCAAGAAAGAAGGGGGAAGAACCCATGTGCCTGGTGTACTGTTGTTTTTCTAGGCACCTTTGAATTTACGTTGTATTAAAAACTCTTGAAGTGGCCTGAGCATCATCAGGCTTCTGGGGTGGAGGCACCAAGTCCAGGGGAAGGCATCAAAGTAAGACAAGGACAAGCACATATCCATGCCCCTGCCTGGGATCCATTTCCCTCACTTGTTTGTTAGAACGGGGTCTTCCAGCACCGCTTCTTCGGGTGCACATGGTGTTCTCCTCAACGTGTGGCAAAGGCAACAGTCTCCTCTGCAGCCTTTTCCCCTTTTGTGGACAGGTACAAGGCCCAGAACTGTCCTGGCAACTCGGAGAATATAACCATCCTCAACACCTCCCCTGTGGATGCAGAGGTCCAGTTCTCCTTTGAGAATGATGGGAAAGCAGAGACGTTCCTTTTGTACCCTCCCAGCATGACACTGAAACCAAAGGAGAAGCAGGTAAGAGAGGGGCAGGTGGAGCAGACACTATAGAAGTGCCCAGGAGCTACTCCTCCTGCTCACACACAGTGCTCTTTCTATTTTTTTCTGTGGGACTGGCTCTAGGAGCTGACCATTTGGGCATATCCCACTTCCCCTGGCTTCCTGGAAGACAAACTCATCTGCTGCATTGAGAAGAACCCAGACCCAGTGGTCTTCAGCCTGTGCTGCCATGGGGTGCACGTGAAGCTGGAGGTCAGCCCCCTGGAGCTGTCTTTTGACCAGCTGCTTCTGCACAGGTCAGTCATCCCACAAGCACTCCAAGACTTGTGACAAAGAGAAAATGTTTGACTCTGGTTTCCAGGGCATGAATGGAGCTGCTCCAGTTGCATTCAGTGGCGAGGCTGGTGTGACCACCCAGTAGCTAATGCCAAGTGCCTTCCTGTCTCTGCAGGACTGACAGCAGGACCTTGATCCTGAAAAACGACACCCTGCTGCCCACGGCCTGGCAGCTCAGTGGGCTGGATGACCTTGTTGAGGCCTTCTCCTTGTCACAAAATAACGGCATCATGGATCCCCGCTCAGAGTTTGAAGTGACACTGAATTTCAAGGCTGAGCAGATTGGCATCACTGAGAAGACCCTCCGACTAGAGGTGAGAGGGACTGTGCCCTGCCCTGCAGCCGTGTGCTCTTAGGGACAGTCAGGAAGAGCTGCATCTGACAGACACAAGGGTGCCGTGACACCAACTTCTGCCTCTACACAGCATTTGTCCGGACGTGCAGTGCACCCACATCTCCCCAGATAACCAGACACTGCATCCTGAGCCTGTACCACAAGCACCTTGTCCCTGGGAATGGTTGAAGGTGGTGGTTTGGCTGTACACTGCAGCCTTATCTCTACATTCCTCCTGGAATTTGTATGAACCTCTTGCGTAGTGCAACAAACTCTCCCCCCTGGGATTTTGTTCCCCATGGTTTAGGGGCTGCATTTCAGAGAGAGTGCTAGGTGATTGGAGAGAGCTGTCAATGCCACCTGCTCTGAGACACCTCACACTTCTCGTGGTTGTTCTTGCATCCCTGTGCTTGTCAAGGATGCTTTAGCAGCAGCGTTCTCTGCTGCAGGAGCACAGAATTGGGCTGAGAGGGCTTTTTACTGCAGCAGAATCCCACTGTGGCAGCCTACGAGATGAACAGGTTACCAAAGCTTGGGAGTCTGCCAACACTTGTAAAGCCAGGGAGGCCACAGAGGAAGCAGCCAGCAGAGACAAGGACTTCCAGGCTGTCTACCAAAAGAATAATCTGAACAGTGTTTGTTTCTTGCTGCCTCAGGTTTCAGATACAGAAAATATCCTGGGGATTGTTCAGGCTGAATACATCAGAATCTCTGCAGAGGTCTACGATGTTTCTCTGCAGATCGACATGCCTGAAGGTCAGTGGATGCCTCCCAAACAAAGCAGTCCAGGTGCACTGCATGACCTTGGGAGGTGGGCAACCAGAGCACTTGGGATGGCATGGCACGGCATGGCACAGCATGGCACGGCATGGCATGGCATGGCATAGATACATAAAGCATATAACCTGCAAGCTGCGTGGAATAAAGCATTGTCAGGGCACTGACAGCTTTAAGTCTCTCCCTTCTGGACTTTGACGTGTGCAGCTTCGTGTGCAGATTGAATTTGGGGGTTTTGAAACAATAGTGACATGAACAGGCAGTTGGCAACTGCCACAGGCCCAGCACAGCATATAAAGTAAATGGATTTTTCCTTGGAAGTGAGGAAATGGAAGCCGAGCTCCTTAGGTACTAAGCCTACAGATATTTTGAGTGAGAAAAGTCAGACAAGTAGCTGGAAAACACTTTCAAGAAAACACTTTCAACACTTTCAGATGCTTGCTGAAAGGGGTTTTGTGCCAAGACCTCCATGTAGCCTGTGACCTGGTGTATTGTGCAGCAGCTCACAAATACCATGTTTGACCTTGTTCTGTGGGTTTTTTGCAGGTCCAGATGGAAGCTTGGAATTTGGAACCATTAATGCCCTGGAAAATGTGAAGAAAGTCCTGACTCTAAAGAACAAAGGGATATACAACATTGGGTACCGGTGAGTCCAGCTGCCAGGTAGTGAGCATTTCCTCAGGTTCCCAGGCCTGCCTTCTCCCTCTGTCAATGGCTAGAACCTGTTTCCATGCTGGCTACCTCTTGGTAAATACAAAACCTGGGCTCTCTAATCTCAACTATTTTACCAGAGAATCTAGCCACAAACCAGCAGTTCCCCACAGCTCAGCAGGAGCCCAAAGGACAGCCCCAGAAATTTCAGCCACTGAAATGCTGAGATTCATTGCCTTTCTTTGATGGTCACCTCTTTTCTCTTTCTGAGACTCTGTAAAGAAGTGAATGAAAAATTTGTCTCAAGGTTTCTTGCAGAAACCTCGTGATTGTCTGCACTCTCCGTCAAGATCCAGGATTCCCTGAGCAGAGTTGGAGTCTTCCTTTTCTTTTTTTTCCTGGTCTTATACAAAGTCCTGGCTGTGCTGGTGGCACCTATACTTTTAGCTGCATAGATCTCCATTCCTTCCCTTTCTCCCCTTCAGTTTCATGCTGAAGGCTGCAGGTCCCAGGTTGCGAGATGTATCATCCCACTTCACTGTTGAGCCTCAGTCGGGCAAGCTGATTGCCTCCCAGCCTGGTGTGAATATTGAGATGCTCTTCCACCCCACAAGGGAAATGTTCCTCAAGAACAAACCCATCCTGTACTACCAGGTGAGCTGCCTGGGCCAGGCTCTGGTATCACACAGTGTTTTGGAGCGTAAACAGGATAGGTGTCTAATGGAAGGAGAACTTTAACTGGAGAATCCTCTCCTACATCCACAAAGTCTTTCAAAACCATTGGGAGGCTTCCTAAGTGGAGCTGAGAATTTGACTCTGAAGGAGGTGCTTAAACAGGGAGGGGTAAACTGATGGAGGCCCGGGGTGGAGGCTGGGGACTGGGGTAGAGGCTGGCCTCTTTGCTTTATTTATCACCCCTTCCTGTGGACACAGGTGATAGATGTCAGCTCAGGGGAAGGAGGCCAGACTGTTGCCATCATCCCAGTGAGGGTGTCGGCGAAAGCTGTGTACAGCAAGTACAGTATTGAGCCTGCCCCACCCATCGACTTCGGGGCCATGATCAAGGGCTCCAAGAAGACCCAGACTGTCGTGCTGGAGAACAAAGGCATGCTCAACTTCGAATTCCACATCCACCAAGCACCTGAGGATGAATCTGCAAGGTACGAGAAGCCCTGCACCACCCTTCCTGTCTGAGGAGGCACCACCCCATGGCTGGTATGTGGCAGCCCTGGGCTATCACCCATCTGCATCCCCAGCTTGGGGAGAGGGAGCAAAAAACCACCTCGGTATCCCCACATGTAGCATGAAGCTGGTGATAGAGCTGCTCTGTCTGGCACTGGGTGCTGCAGGCTGCTCTCTGGGAGCCATCAGGAGCAGGAAGGCTTTCCTCTGTGGGGAGAAACGCCAGCTTTGGCCTCAGAGAAAGGCAGGGGAGCTCAGCATGACAGATACCTCTGCTTTCTCCGCAGTTCAAAGCAAGAGGAATCTTCTCCATTGGCTACAAGGCTGAAATCAAACTCCTCACAGGTGGGTGACTCCTGCTCCCCAACAGTGCTGCTGCAGGGGATATGAGAAGATGCTGCTGTGCCCAGGCTGGGGGCTCATCACCATAGGGTGGGACGTGGTCTGCAGGATGGAGTGCAGTATCTGCTCAGTCCCACTGCCAGTCCTGTACTCTGGCTCTGACCTGGAGCTGTGGGGTCAACAGAGGGGAGCAGGTCCTGTTTGGTAGCTGCTAGCCAGCATAGGTCTGTGAATACCACAGAATAAAAACATCCC